ACATTAGCTGCTGCTCGTACCACGATGCCGAAAGGCCAGAAGAGGCCGCGGAGCATCGAGTGAAACACACCGTCTCTCCTCACCACTGACACCTGAGCCACAGACAGCACAGCTGTAAACTACCACAACTACTATTTATATATTATATACACATGTGATATAAGAGAAACTGGGACACATGACCCAGCCGGACACCGTTACCTCAGTGTTTTGGGTCTGCTCCTGCTCGCTGAGGAGTTCTGGAGTCATCCTGCTTCGGGTAAAAACCTGGTGGACCTGCCGGCCTGCAACAAAGAGGAGGGGGAGGCTGGAGGGCTACAGTAGAGGCAGGGTCTGGAGGGTAAAATGTACCCTGAAGTTGCAACTGTGCAGCCAATCAACAGGGACAAGTGCACGTGGCGCAATCAGAGCGGACCAATGAACAAATCCCGCCAATTAACCCGCCAACAGGCCGACAAAGGGTGGTCACATGACCGGTGTGAGGAGACACAAATATAACACACCTTTAAACTGCATGTTTAAAATGATCCGTGTCATCTCTGTAATGGATAACAGGCTACAAAAAGAAAACACAAACACTATTAAATGATAGTGATGATTTAAAAAATGATCCAGAATCCAAACAGAGCAGAATTTTTAAAACAAAACATGTTGTCAAAACATTACAAAAGGTCATTTTGATAACATATTTTGAATTATATATCCATGTTGTATGAATTAATTTAATTTTAAAGTTAAGTTGCATTGCCCCAGTACATTAGTTGGTTGACTGATATATTTAAAGAGCAGGCTGCTAGTGGCCGATACATAAAACCGATTTAAAAACAAAGAAAATTCATATATTAACCTGTTATAGTCTAATTCAGGCTAACGTTTACAGCAGGAGAGTTGTAGTACAGGGCTCAGAAAACTACTTTTTCACCACCTCCCCTAAAAGAGGGAGCGCTAATATCGTCCCACAGCCGGCACACTGATAAGGCTGACCTCAGATGTGCCTGCACAAAGCTTTTGTTTATCAGCCTCATCAGTAATCTAATTAAAAAAGACATTTCAGTTTTAAAGCTAATAAATTACGACAAATGTTAGCTCTAGATATTCATGAATCCATTACTAAGTTTCAATGTAAACACTGAGAAGAAATGCTAGTACAAGACTTTTGGGATGTGGTAATCGGTTGCTAGGAAATGTCTGTAGTGCTGTCCAAACAGGAAGTAACTGTAGTAGCACAGATCAGCAAAACTAAAAATGGCGTCACAAACACTTTATCTTTTGTAAATGTTGGTGTTACTTTGTTTTATTTATTTCTGCACACATGAAGAAATATGTGTTAGTAGTATTCAAACAGGAAACATCCAATTATTCTAACCTAACTGACGTGGGCATAATGTTTCGTAATTTGAGGTATATTATAGTATATTTGTGAAGGTAAATGAATGCTATATATGTGCTATACTGAATATCTTTTGACTCAGACAAACAAACAAGACATCATCTTGAGCTTTAGGAAGGTGAGATGGGCATTAAACACCATTTTTGGACATTTTTTAGACTTAACAACTAATTGATTAATTATAAAAAATAATCAGCAGGTTAATCACTAATGAAGATAGTCAACAGTTGCAGCCCAACTGCACACAGAAGAGCAGCCTGAAACCATTTAACCATGGAAAGTGAATTGATTAGTTCCCAAAAACATGTCACGTCCAAATGTTCTGAGAGGAAGGGAGAAGCTGCATCTCTGTCTGCTTAGCATATGAAGAGGTTTATTGTGCTTCCATACTTGACAAGCTCCCTTAATTAGTAACCGTTTCCGCCTCTGGCTTTCGTCACATTTACGCATCTGTTGATGCATTTCACGGATGACAAAATGTGGTGAAAAAGTATAAAAGCTGCCTGTCACCTCTCCTCTTGCCAATCTACAACCCAAGCCTGTGTGCAAAGACAGTGGAGGACATTCAATGATGGATAAGAACTCAGTCACACGGACGTTCAGCATTGGAGCTATTTGCAGTGGAACCAAAACTTCTGATGATTTCTACGCAGCTCGCAGGCACAGCAGCGCAGGCATCCGCGCGCTCTTGTGGGCTACAAGCAGTGCCAAGTCCCTCGGGTGTTCTCTAGGATCGGACTCCCAGACGAGCCGAGAGAACATTTTTCCGAATATCCTGACACCTGACAGCATCCCACAGTTCACTATACCGAGTCTGTCTGTGCAGAACAGCTTAAGATCACTGGACAAAGAGACAGAGGAGGATTACGCACAGTCAGAAGAAGGCTTAGGGAGTGAGCTGGAGTCATGTGCTTCTCTGGCCTGCTCCTCCACGATCTCGTCATCCACATCATCATCAGGCCCCTGTTTGGTTCTGTCAGACCGCAGGGCCGAGCGGAGCGTCTCAGACCCCTTCACCAAGAAGAAATCTCTTCTTCAGAGGGAGGTGTCCTATCCCCGCTCCCAAACCGAGGCCCAGCACTGCCTGGATCCTGCCAGCAGAGCCGCCCTCTCCCTGCCACACCTAACCAAAGTCACCACCCCGTACGGCTTCATCACCCTGAGCCAGAGTCCACAGATGGCGAGCGAGGAGGCTCTTCTCTGTCAAGCTGGCCTACGGCGCTTAAACAAAGACGAAGAGACTGCGTGCTGTCTTGGCAAAGCTCCAGGGACGAGGACAGTGGACAACAAAGGCAGCTCCTCGCACCTGTTAGGAGACCAGAAGAAACTGTGTAAAGACTCAACTGACTTGCAGAAAAAAGAATCGGTAAAGGACGAGATAAAAGCTTCTTCTGCCTCCTCCGTCAACGCTACAGTTCCTTCTACATCCAGACACCCAGACGGCAAGCGTAAACGGCGCTTCTACAACGTTATAAAGAAACACTTCACCTCCCGCCATTAAGAATGTAATCATGGGACTGATGCGTGTCCAGTTAGCTCAGTTGGTAGAGCTGGCGACCCACAGAAGGAGTTGCTGCAGTGGCCCAGGGTTCAAATCTGACCTGCGGCCCTTTGCTGCGTGTCATCACCTCTCTCTCTGCCCCCTTTTCTTGTCTATCTTCGGCTATCACTATCAAATAAAGGCAAAAAATATAACTTTAAAAAAAAAAATCATGGGACTGATTCGCAGTATAATAACAACAACAATGTGACTTGATTTAAGTTGTGCATTAATTCATGTTGCATTCTTCTTATGAAATACCCTTTTTGTTTTGTGTCAAAAAAATGTCAGTACAATAAAGCTGTGAAACTCATGAAAAATGTACCATTTGTTGTCACTTAAAAGAATAAACCAACGCCTGCCACATTACTGTGTGTATTGAGTCTTTCACAGTTCCTGTTTTTCGGAAACAGGGTCACCTTTAAAGTTCTCATAACAGATTGAATACTGCACATCGGCTGTGTGTTTAAGGTTAATGAATTCCTCCAACGCTCTCGTGATCTTAAATGTCACTCCCTCTCAAGCTGTCCACCCCTATTCAGCCCCTTGTTAAATATGTCTGTATAGTTCCCAGAGTAAGCCTGATCCTGCAGCAGTGAATGTTTGCTGACGCATCCCTCAGGCCAAGAAACCAAGCAGTTCTCCTTACTCCTTAGCATATGAAGAGCTTCAGTGGAGAGGCCCTTAATGATGGTCGACTAATGCATCCTTGTAGCCTGTTGTTCTCAACTCTCCCACACACTGATATTTAGTGGGTAAATATCATTATGACGCAGAAATCTCTGCTCTAAGTGGAGGGCGAGGAGAATACAAGAGTGAGTCCCTGAACACAAGAATAGATTAAGATCATCTAAATTTATAATCATTCACCATTTTGTTTGTTTATGTGCATTATGTAAGTGATTTTATGTTAATGCTTTGAGGGAATGGACTTCCGCTTTTCATTTAAAGTACGTATTATATGTACGAGATGAAGCATTTTACATATTCTTTTTATGTATTAATAATTTTTTATTGCCAATTTGTGAACGAATTGTAATGCAGCTTAAACAACGACTTTCTCTGCTGCCTGTGGATTGATTTCAATGCGTTTCTATGTAGGGATGCGGGTCGGATTTTATGCAAAGTATGTGGCATTTATACTCCCTCTCCGCTTCCCTACAGTGTCAGCGGTGTGCACTAGCTAACGTAAGCATAGAAAAGATGTCCGGTAACCAACGACCAACGTCCAGCACAAAGTCCAGAGTCCGAGCTGACAATACTGCAAAGCAAGTGAAATGTTAGCTTGCTTGCTAACACGGATGAATTGCTAACGCGGCCAACGTCAGCTAGCTTCATCCAGACACATGGAGCTCATCTTGCTGGCTTGCCGTTTGCAGGTCTTGCTCGCTAATGTTATTTCTAGCAAAGTAGTGGACATCTTCGTTGGCTAATGTTAACTTGCATATTTACTTAACCAGTTAACAAAAAATAATAAGTAAGGTAAAGGTACAAAGCTAACAACACTAGCTAACTGTAGCCTGTAAGCTAAGCTGGGGTTGGCTGATGGGGTGATTTGTAAACATCAAGCTAGTTAATAGCATAAAATATAGTAACATTGCAGATAGTAATGAGATGTAATAAAAGTAAAGTAATTATTATTATTTGTTTTTCAGCATTCAGTCCAGCGTATGTCACTTTGGGCCAGTGCTCTTTGGATGATGCTCACTGTGTACTGTACTGTACAGAGAGTACAGAGAGCAACAGGATGTTGACTGCAGTTAACTTCACGGCCACTGGTGTCACTATTAACAACAATTTTCTGAAAGTTACCTAGAGATCCTCTAATTTAACAATTCAGTCAATTAAAAGTATTTTTTAGTTTAAAAAGTAGGAGTGCCCTATTGGAGATACGGTTGATGGTTGATGTAGAACTCACAAACAGGAATATACTGAATAGTGCAAGCATCAGTTAATGTCCATTAAAGTTAAGAAAGTTACATAACTTTTAGCTTTATCCCCAAATTCAGAAACAATTCTCAACACCAAAACAAACTGCATAATCCAAGATGATACATTAACATGATTACCTTGAAGAAGGAAAGATTTATTCCAGGGCTGTTGCATTAAACTGCATTGGTTTCAGCTCGGTGCACCTAATAAACTGACAACTGAGTGTGTATTTCTGTGGATTAATTGATGGTCTGTCTATAAAAACTGAAATAACCTCATCTACCACTGGTTCCTAATAGTTTTCTGTCAATGCCGTCTTCTGGAACCAAAAAACCTCCCCCTCTCCTGATATATTGATAAAGAACTAACTCAAAAGCAATGCTAGTCGTCTTCATATTTTGGGTTTGACACAGCCAACGTCACGTTTTCTTTTCTCTGTTCATTGTGTGCATGAACCAGATTTACCTTTACTGCAGCAGACATTGGTTGATTACG